CCATATTGAAAAATAGGTTGTGATCGACTCCTACCAGTGGACAGATTACAAGTGTTCACAAGGCCAATAGTCTACCTGAGGTGCTAGCCTGCTTCTGTGCTGATACATGCATGGTGATTGATTAAGAATATCCTGTTTTTGAGACCAGCAGATGGTGTAATAGTTATATTGCTGAACTCCCACACACTCTCCCAGGTTCAAGTACCAGACCAGGCAGCTTAAAACTCAGACCAGGCACGTGTGTGTGCATGCCAAAAATCCTGAAAGGAGAATGGAGGGGAAGGGATTGTGCTGTGGCCGTCCGCTCCAGGGGCTGATTTCTTGCTTTCTGACTCTCTGTCTCTGTCTCTCTGGTGAACACACATATCCTATGGCAAAAATCTCTCAAAAAAAAAAAATCCTGTTTTTAGATATCCTGAATGTATATTTAAGATTCCAAACAGAATAAGAGGACTTGTCTTATTTCTATGTACCTCAATCAATTCTCAGTATAGTCAAAATATTTTTAGAGAATTTTGCTGTTTTCTTTTCATAGATGTGATTTATTCATAAGAGATGGCTGTTAATCATAGAAAAGGTAGTTTTTTATGCAAAAAAAAGTTGAGGAAAAGCTTCTGTTTAGATATAAACTGTTCAGTTCTGTGTGACTTTGAACAGACATTTAGGTGGTGTGTAAAATGATACACAGAAAAGCATAATGCTGCTTGGTTTTCTATTTTTCATCTGTATCAAAATTGGGATTAAAAGTAGCAAACACTGAGCATGTGAACCCAAAGATAGGGCTGCTGAAAACACTGGAGTGTGTGTGTATATTGATACTGTAAGTGCATGATTAATGTAAAGAGCCTCAAGCTTTTGGAAACAATTCAGTGGAATGGAAAGTTGCTTTTTGATGTCTCCAGCCAAGCTGGATAAATTACAATTCAAGCAATTAACAATGAATTTGGAACAAGGAGTATTATTTATTTTTTGTAACAATGGAAAGCTTAACTGCTTGTAAATTCAGATAAAATTGTATAGCTCTTGGCACACCAAACCAGGTTCAGCAAATACAATAGATAGTCTTTAATTGAGGAAGTTTTCTTTTTAGCTGTAGGTTAAAGTTTGTATAAGTTGAATCCTATTTTTCATTTCCCAGTGAAGAGAGAAAGCTATTTTTATTTCCATAGGTAACTGTGATTATGTGCATCCTCTTTTTACAAAATAGACTCTTGTTTTAAGCAAACATGCTGTAAAATTGGCTATAAAGTGAGAAACCATATTCCCTCTTTGTAAATTACAGACTCTGTCAGTCATTTTTCTTAGTTTTTATTCTTACTGTTGACTCCTTCCCTACTATCAAGTTTCCAAGATGTTCTGTAGCCACTGCCCTGTTTTTAATAATTTCTTTGCTACCAAAACTTCTTTCAGACTACTATACGTCTGTTGCTTCCGTTTTTCACTACCCACAATCTCCTTAACCAGTTTTGTGTGATTCTTACAAACGATCTGCTCATAACAACATAGTGGTCTTTTAGCCCTCATTTTTTGCAACATCTTTATGGCATGTGACATCAACCCATTTACTATCATGCATGTCTTCCACCTGGCTTCTTAAACCCTGATCCCTGTTCTCTCTCTCCTTGAATACTTCCAGTTCCTACCTTTGCTTTCTAAGTGAGAATGTTTTCCAAAATTTTCATCATGAAATTTTTTTCCTCCTTTCTGTACAATTTGCATGTTTCTCCATACATACAATTTACATATGAGACTCCCATTAATTTCTACTTTATTATTATCTTTAAAAAATATCTCTTGACACTAGTTTTCCTGCCAGCTATCACCATGTTTCTTTGCTCCCCACTACAGGGTAGCTTCCTTTAATAATAACCTATTCTCACTGCTTCCTTCCTTTCTTCCTATCTCTCTTGAACTCACTCAAGTGAGGTTTATCCCCTACCATTTTGTCAAAGTTACCCTTTCAAAAGCTATGTGTGATCTCTTGCCAGATTAGAATGTCATTTCTCAGTCCTTTTTCTATTAGACTTACAGCAACATTTGCTCTAGTTGTCCATTCTCTCCCCCTCCACCACCTCCTCCTCTTCCTCTTCATCCTTTTCTTTCTCCTTTTCCTTCTTGGTATAAGAAAGAGAGTGCACACATGAATGCAAGTAAGAGTTGGAGGTACAGAGAGCAAGGTTGTTTTTTTTTTTCCCCCCTCAAAGGTTTTTGCCATAAGGTGCATGTAGTAACTGGAGAGACAGAGACAGTGAGAGGGATAATGAGAAATCACCTCCCAAGTGGGAGATGGCTATGCTGCAGTCCCTTCTCCTCCGTTCTCTCCTGGGATTTTGGGCATGCACACACATGTGCCTGGTGTGAGTTTCAAGCTGCTGGATCCTGGGACTTGAACCGTGGTTGGTCATGTGGAAGTCCAACATCTTAACAAAATTTACTATCTCATCTGTTTTAACCTTACAGTATTGTTAATTACATGCATCTTGTTGTACAACAGATCTCCACAGCAACTTTTCATTTTATAATATAATAGATAGTCTTTAATTGAGGAAGTTTTCTTTTTAGCTGTAGGTTAAAGTTTGTATAAGTTGAATCCTATTTTTCATTTCCCAGTGAATACACTTCACACTAGTCCAGTTGGGGATAATATACATGCTAACTTCAGATAATGATCCATTTCTGTGTACCTTTGGTATGTTTCTTTTTTAAAATTTTTTTTAACAATTATTTATTTTATTTATTTATTTATCCATTCATTTATTTCTTAATTTGACCAGAGAGAGACAGAGGGTGAGAGTGAGAGAGAAAGGAAGTGGGAAAGCAAGCCACCAGAATCAGGACTCGAACCCTGGTCAGCCATGTGGGAGTGTCCGGTGCCTTAACCATCACACCACCTGCTGGTCCCCCTTCTGGTATGTTTCTATATGACTGTACATACCTGCTCCATCTCCTCAGCTGGACCCTTCTGTTTGTGACCTGTGATTGTGAAGCTCACAGTATATGGCATAGTCTATGGCTATCATCTCTCGGTATTTTATTTTCCATTGTAGTAAAAAACATGTAACAAAATTTACTATCTCATCTGTTTTAACATTACAGTATTGTTAATTACATGCATCTTGTTGTACAACAGATCTCCACAGCAACTTTTCATTTTATAAAACTGAAAGTCTGTCCATTGCGTGAGTCCCTGTTCTCCCTTATCTTTTCTTCTCTTATTTATTTATTTATTTTTTTTGGAGAGTTTTTTTGCTTTAGGGCATGTGTGCTCACCAGAAAGACAGAGAGAGACAGAGAGATAGAAAGTGAGAAATCACCCCCCAGGGGGGATGGCCATGCCTCAATCCCTTCTCCTCCATTCTCCTCTCGGGATCTTGGGCACGCATGCACACGCGCCCAGCGTGAGTTTGAGTCTCCGGGTCTGGGATATGAACTGTGGTCGACTACATGGGAGTCCAGTGACATAGCCATTACGCTAACTCCTGGTCTCCCCTCCCCTGTCCTTTCTCTATATTCTTCCTTCCTAGGTGATCTCATCTAGTTTCCTGACGCTAAGTCAGGAAAATGTACTATTTAGTATTTTGCTTTAGACTATCTTCAGTACTTCCTCTCCTTCATTTACTCCCTTCAATTTTGCAAATTCAGATCTTGACATTGTGTCTTTTCAGTTTCTAGAATCCTTATTTAGAATACACACATTAAATTCTCACATATTAAGCTTCATTGATTACCAGATTTCTTTTTTATTTTCTCCTGTCTTTAATCTGCATTGGGGTATGCCTTATAGTTTGGTTATTTTCTCAAGTATTTTTTTCCTCAAATGGTTTGCTAAAGTGGTGCAGTATCTGAGACCTTGGTTAGCCTCAAATATCATTTTATCATCCCTTACCATTAAGGGGTATTTCAGCTAGGTATAAGATTCATGAGTTCTATTGCTTTCCTTTCAGATAGCGTAGATCCTCTTCCTATTGTTTTCTGACTTCTGGTGTTGAGAATAAGTCCAATACTGGTCCTATTTTTTTTATTTCTCTTTATGGGTAATGTTTTTTCTGTCTATATACTTAAAAGATTTGTCTTTATTTTTAAAATTAATGAAGTTTACAAGGAAATGAGTAGCTTTTTTTCTTTTTTTTTCTATTCCATCTAGTCTTACACATTGTCTCCCTTTTATGTACCAGAGGTCTTTTTTCAGCCCAGCCACAATTTCCTTTATCGTTTACTTGGTTGTTGCTTCTCCTCTATATGGTGTCTTTTCTCCATTTTAATACTTAAAAAAAAAAAGTATTAGATCTTCTAGACCTTCCCTTTGAGTCTGTTTTCTTTTCTTTATTTTTTTATTTACTTTTCCTCTTATGATGTGCTCACTCTTAAAGGGACCTCTAGTTGTCCTGACCATGCTTGCTCTTCTTCTCTTTTCTCTTTGCGTTTTCTTTTACTTAAGACCTCAGTTTATGCTCTTCCTCCTAAATTTTCATTGGATAGAATTGGCTTCTGCCAGTTAAATAACAATAATAGATAAAAAAGCTTAGAAAAATAATAGAAACCAAAAGTGAACTTGAAAATAGGCTTAGCATATATACTGTAGCATAAATAATTACATTTAACTTGAGCTAGTATGTGGTTGACACTTGTTTTCTTGCACTCTAACGCAGCAATCTTCTAATCACAGGGAAGACCAATGTTAAGATTTAAGGATAGGTAAGCTCACTTGCCATTTTGCTCAACTTTTTGAAGGATCATTGTAGCTATCTTCCTGGGTGGGCTGTGGGAATAGCACATCTGAAGCTCTAACACTCCCACGGAGCCATATGCCTTTGGCAGCTGTAGAGTTGTATAAAATCAGCACTGGCCCATGTTCTTATGCATACTTAGAAACACCTCTTTGTGGAATTGTACGTAAGCATTTGTAAACTACTTTGTGGCAAGCTACTTAATAAGAACTTTTTAAATCATTGACTTTGATAATTAAGAAATTAATTTGGTTTTGTTTTTCTTTTTTCCAGATGTATGGTGGCTGATGAAGTAAGTGCTTTCATGATTTTTATGTCTTTTATAAAATTACACAACTAATTTTTAGTGTCTATTATTTTCCATGTACCCTGTCTTCTATATGTCTATATATGGGTAAGAGGAAAGATAGAGAGAGAAAGAGAGAGAGAGAGAGAGAGAGAGAAAAGGAGGCTATGGAGAAAGGAAGATAAAATGAGAGAGAGAGAAGTGTGCATGTGTGTGTGTGTGTCATTACAAGGTGAGCTTCTGGAACATACATTAATGTCAATATAGGTGATTCAAACTTTTATATTGTTGCCCAAGAAACATGAATGTGTTTTGAAATGCAATCCCCCCAAAAGAGCTGAACTCATTTTTTTTATCTGTTGTAATACTGCTTGCTTAAAAGCTAAACTTTTAAAATTTGACTCTAAAAATTACTGTTGTTTCTTATGTGTGTGAAACTTAGTGCTAAAATGGTATTTTATCATCACAAAATAATTTAATACATTTAAGTGGCATGTACTTATATCTATATTCTTTTTTTTTCCACTGAAATGGAGGTTCTTGGTATATAAACTGTAATACTCTTTACATATATTCTTAGAGTAATATAAATCAATTGAGTTCTAATTTTTAATATCAGTTTAAGAATTATGTTGCTGTTTTTCATGATGCCTTTAATAACAGCAGCAAAACATATATTAGTCAAAATATATTAGAAGTGAAGAAATAGGAACTAAATTAAAAAATAGAATTGGAACCATTAAAAAATTCTCCCCATTAATCATCTGTTAGTCTTAGTTATATAAAGACTTCTACCAATGGCTTATCTCTAAAGTCTCTGCTTTAGGAAGAAAATGAATGTGACATGAATGCTATGCAGAAAAGTTGATGCAGGATTTCTCAGTTCATGCTGACTTACAAGTACCCAGGCTTTAGTTTGAACTCTTTACTCCATAGGCATTTATTTAGACTAGATGTTATAGTTAGAAACACAGCCATTGCATGTGAAGAACTTCAGCAATATAATTGGATAAATAATACATAAACATATGGGGAGCAATTAACAGAAATTTCTTCTTTGGAGCAGGATGAATTCTAAAAAAATGGTTCTTCCTAAGTTGAGGATCCAAAATGACTGTAAGAGGCCTATGTTTTAGTCCCTAAATATGTTTTAGCAAAATAGAAATATAAACTTATTCTTCAAAACCTCAAAAATAGGCATAACTGTTTCCTCTTGCATATCTACAATATAAGTTACATTTCTCTGATCTGAAATTGGAAATTTCCAAAACCTAAAACTTTTTGAGCACTGACATGATACAAGGGGAAAATACCACACCCAACTTTATGTGATAGGTTACAGTCAAAGCACTGCAATACCAAACAACTGGATAAAATTAACCTTCGTCTGTACAGATAAGGTGTATATAAAACACAAATGAATTTCTTTTTTTAGACTTCGGTCTCATTTTCGTAAAATATCCTGTTATGTATATGCAAACATTTAAAAAAATCCATACTCTAGAACACTTCCTATGCCAAACATTTCAATAAAGGATGTTCAACCTGTGTATGTATGCATGTATGTATATATTTTTTTCAAAACATACCAATTTTTTGACTACAGAAAATATAATAAAAGGTAACACCATCCTTGGTAACCTCTACAAATAAGTCCTGAAAATGGTTTTAGGTAATCACGGTACACCATTGGTACCTTGGTCCTCACTTTGATGTTGCAGAAATTTGAGTCGAATCATCCATGGATCAAGATTAACATATGGTCATCATCTTAAACTTTTTTTTTTTGGAGAGGTTTCTGCTACAGGGTGCGTGCACTCGCCAGACAGACAGAGAGAGAGAGACAGAGAGACAGAGAGACAGAAAGCGAGAAATCACTCCCCAGGGGGGATGGCCACGCCGCAATCCCTTCTCCTCCATTCTCCTCTCGGGATCTTGGGCACACATGCACACGCACCCAGCGTGAGTTTTAAGCCACCGGGTCCAGGACGCGAACCGCAGTCGACTACGTGGGAGTCCAGCGACACAGCCTTTACGCCAACTGCTGGTCCCAACATATGGTCATCATCTTGACTCCCAGTTTCCCACAAACCACTATCTTTTCATTTAACATTAGGTTAATGAGTGTGCAGAGTTCAGGGGAACCTTAACCAATAAGACTCTTCTCATTATACCAATTGCTTTTCCTTATCACTTGTTACTTACAATTATTTAGTACTTTTCACATATTAGATGACTTAACATCTTCTTTCAAATCCATTCTTATATTTTAATTTAATAAGTTTTAAAGATCCATTTAAATTTTCCTCCATACCTAAAAAAAAACATAATTCCACTTTTGTGTCCATTATAATTACTTCTTTCTTTTCACTAGCGCTTTGAAGACTCACTCTTTTATATCCATTCAGTTTTACAGGGTTTAGGGTTTATGATGTTAATTTCTATTAATAATGTTAATTAAGAAAAACATCAAATTTATGCATCTGTACAAAAAACAAGCTAGAGAAATAAAAAGGATGATGTATAAGTCTAAGATCATAGCTAACAACCACTAATAATCTTTGTTAGTGGAAGAGTTGAAATGCTATTTTCACAAAATCTTACTGAGCTAAAGTGGATGAGAGTTAATAAATTAGAAGTGCCCAAGTAGAACTTGTGTATGTAATTATATAAACTCTGATTTGACCTTCATTCTATTTCTTAATACTCTTCTTCTTTTCTTGCTTTTATCACGGAATGATTGTAAAGTCAGAGAAGGAAATGCAGTTTATAACTTGAAGGCCAACCACTTTTTGATTTTTAAATTAAAAATGTATTTTGATATGATGCCTATTTGACTCATCAAATAGCTAAAAGCCTTAGGAGAGCAATTTTACATCTGTGTTATTGAGTCTACTTTTTTTTAGACGCTTGAATACCCACTTGGAGTATTGTGTAATTTAGCTGTCTGGTGTGATCTTTCCTCCCTAGCTTTAAAAACAAATGACTTACTTCACTGTTATTACTCCCTCTTCTTTTAGTATTTTTCCACTAATATCTTTTCTAATATATTCAATCCTTGTAGAACTATATAATCCATCTGCTGTATATAAGGTAGTCATTAACTTAAATTGAAATGATGATTTAAGTTCCACTTAATTATGTGAACATTGTGTATATCAATTATAGAGCTATATTTCACATAACCAAGAAAGCTGTAACTTTTAGTAAAGTGAACTTTGCAAACCTAGCTTAAACTTTTTTTTTAAGAGAATTTTTTGCTGTAGGGCACATGCACTCACCAGAGACAGAAAGTGAGAAATCACCCCTCCAGGGAGGATGGCCATGCCACAGTCTCTTGTCCTTCATTCTCCTGTTGGGAACTTGGGCATGCACGCACACACTCCCAGAGTGAGTTTTAAACCACTGGGTCCAGGACTCTAACCAGGATTGACTACGTGGGAGTCTAGTGACAACCATTATGCTATCTGCTGGTCCCACTAAAACTATTTTAATTAGTACTTCCCTTTTCTCTTGGTTTAAGGCAAGTAGATATGTAGGTATTGTTTCAAGGACTGTGTAGTGAATATATAGAAACTCCTGTGAACTTATATTCCATAGGTAATGGAATTCAGACCATTGCTGGATTTTTATTATTATGTTTTATATATATGTATATATAATTTTTTCCAGAGGGCATGTGTGCTTGTCAGGGACAGAAAGAGAGAGATTGAAAAGCACCTCCAACTGCGGTATAGTCATGCTTCAATCCCTTCTCTTTCATTTCCCCAATTCTATCAGGATTTTGGACATACAGGCACTTATACTAGTGTGTGTGTGTTTCAAGCCACCAGGGCCAGGATTTGGCTCTGTGAGATCTGACCCCTTTACTCATCAGGTCACAAGACCAGCCATTTAATATATGTATATATATTTTGGAGAGGTTTTTGCTATAGGGCACGTGTGCTCGCCAGACAGAAAGAGACAGAGAGACAGAAAGCGAGAAATCACCCCCAGGGGGGATAGCCACACTGCAATTCCTTCTCCTCCACTCTCCTCTCGGGATCTTGGGCACGCACACACATGTGCCCGGCGTGAGTTTAAGCCACTGGGTCCGGGACTCGAACCGCTGTCTACTACATGGGCGTCCATTGACATAGCCATTACATTAACTGCTGGTCCCGCATTTAATATTTTTTAATAATTATTTTTGAATCAGTATCATGTTCTATTTGTCCTTTGAGAATTATTGAAAATATTTATTTATTAAAAATATTTTAAGCATGAAAAATAATTTCCCATTAACACAAACCAGTTAATTTAATTGGATAGTACATCGGGGGAAATATAAATATTTAAGGGTATTATTCTTTCTAGAAAGCTGGTATTTAAAGAAATTTTATAATTTAAGATGATGAGATGAATACATTGGATTTACATAAATATTGCCCCAGAATCAGCAAAATTTTGTCAGTACATGGATTCTGTCTTCTCTTAACTATAGTATCTATTATGGAAGTCAGAAAATTCTTACTTTCCTCTTATGTAAAACTTTTTATCAGTACTTTGCTTTTGCTCCCACACTACCCATACAAACACACACACATGATGTGTTCTTCATTTTCTTTCCTATTACTTGAAAAAAACATTTTAGGACCAGCAGTTAGCGTAATGGCTGTGTCGCTGAACTCCCATGTAGCTGACTACGGTTCGAGTCCTGGACCCAGTGACTTAAACTCACGCCGGGCGCGTGTGCATGCGTGCCCAAAATACTGAGAAGAGAATGGAGGAGAAGGGATTGTGGCATGGCCATCCCACTGGAGGGTGATTTCTTGCTTTCTATCTTTCTGTCTCTGTCTTTCTGGTGAGCGCACACGCCCTCTAGCAAAAACCTCTCCAAAAAAACCCGAAAAAAAACCATTTTGCTTCCCTTCCTTTTTTCAAAAGAAAACACCAATTATCAAGGCTTTTCTTACTTGCTGGCTCTTTTGGAACTTATTAAAAGGTAAATAGTTGAGGGACTTTTC